CGGCAGAGGTAGTCCACACATCACTGCACTTATAAAATTGCCTGTCACGTAACAGGGTAAAACTTTCTTTTCCAGATTATTTGCGGTGAATATTAAAAATAGATGCTCTCTTCTCTGCATTATTCTTTTTATTAAGTTGCAGGTAGTACGTATAAATAAACGAAGGTACAGNGGTTAGAAATTAAGAGGTTTTAGAAAAAATAGGAGAACAGAGGACTACAGAATTCAATAACAAATACGCGAGATAGGTTGGTAGGACACCTTCTCAAACGTGAAGGACTAGTTAGAAACATATTAAAAGAAGAAACATCAGGAATTAAGAGGAGTAGAGGTAGATCTAGATTAGATTACTGTTCGCAAATAATTAAGGATGTGGATAGTTTTAGGGAAATGTAAAGGTTAGCTCAGGATAGGAGTGGAGGTGTGTGTCCAACCAGTCTTAGGACTTACGACGTTATAATGATGAAGGTATTTTAAAAGATAAAAACTAACAAACATCAAACATTACATTTCACATGCATTTTAGGACTGTCGATTACTACTAATAGGTTAACCCCTGAAGCTTTGTAAAATGACTCCTATTAGATATATTCCCTAGACCTAGGGAATTTAATGCCGTATTATAGAAAATGTAATTTTTATTTCATTTATAAAACAATTTAATTTTTGCGCCAAATGAATTCTTGATATTGAAACGATAAACCTAGTTCGTAAACCAAAATCTGTTCTTATACACGGTTATCTGTTTTCAATCAAATGGAAACTTGATCTGGATTTTATCCATTAATCGAAATATACTTTAAAACCCTAGGTGGTGCCGGTTGAAGGTAAACTAATCAAAATTAAACTTTCAGCACACCGTTTGTATCAGACTTTCGTGCGTCGGTTTATTTTCGTAAAAATTCTTGAAACGTGTACCGGTGGGATATCCGACTCGATTTACCCGTAAAAATAGCTCGTTTTGTTTGTTATTCTCTTTAGCCTAAGCAATAAGGTATGCCACATATGCAATATATGAGTAGGTACAATTCGACTATTTGAACGGAATGAGAAACAGACGTAAATTGATGGTATGAAATTTTATTGTTTAGTAATTAGAATATGAATACAATAAATTACAAGAATTGTAGGTGCATATTTTTTATATGTACTTATATACAATGAATAAAACCTATTTATTTTGCATTTAAAATCGTACAAATTGTTATAAGTTACCATATGAAAAATAGCAATAAAAACAATATTTTATAATGCAAATACATTTAGATTCATTCACTTAAGTGTTTGGTTAATATATTAGCGATTACTTAGTAAAAAGAACAAAATTCCTAATTTAAAATTATATTCTCTAAATCAGTTGTATTATTGTCTAAAAATTTATACATTTTTTTCAACAAATTAAGAAAATCCTTAAAAATTACAGTCAAAATTTTAGAATATATTGATCATAACATATTATTTTCTAAAAATATTTTTTCTAAACATCGTGTAATAAAACACTTAAAATTATTATACTACATAATGCACCAAACTGCGGCATCTAATAGAGAGTGTGCAAACACAATATAGTAGATCATTTCGTTATAAGGAGTGAATTGTCATATTTATATGATTTTATACGGAAATCGAGAAAGCCAAGTAAAATATGATTACCATTTCCTTAATAGAGAATGTTTCATTACATAGGGTAAATTTTTAAGGTAAAAGCGTTGTTTCCAATAATATTTTTTGTTTAAAAAACACATCGATACAATATATTTTTTTAATAAAACAAAGAAAGAAAACGTTTCTCGGACTACTTGTTTTCGCTGCCTTTTACGAAAACGATGTCGATAATAGCATTCGATGATGACGATTGTTCTCTCCCCTCGGGCGTCGGGGTGCGAGCCAACACGAAGCGTCGCGACGTAAAGGCGGGTGGTCACCCCCTACGTAACCACCGTAACTTGCAGACGTAGCCGAATAAACGACCCCATCACTGTAACTGCTGCCGCTGTTATACTGTGTACAACAACCACTAACCCTCTTTTCTACGACGAAGGAGACAAAAANTGCATTATTCTTTTTATTAAGTTGCAGGTAGTACGTATAAATAAACGAAGGTACAGGTAGATTATAAGTCAGAGGTAGACCGCATACTATTGCGCCCATAATTGCCTGTCACGTAACAGGGTAAATTCTTTATTTTAAGGATTTTTTAAGGTTTAAATTTGTGTTTAATGAATATTAGGGTAACTGTTTTATTATGATTGATTCAGAAATTATTGAAATTGGATTAAAACTAACAATGAAGAAAGCATTCAGGTATTCTAATCAATTAGAGGAACAATTATGTAGTGAATATCTAAATGCGGTTCACAAAACCTACAAGGTTCGTTTAAATCGTGCTATCTAAAATGACATTTAACCTTTTTAATATCCAGGAAATAAACTACATGCCACATTCGAGCGTAAACAGGCAATTTATTATTGGAAAAATAATGATTGTGGACTTTGACTGATACCTTTAGAACCGAACAAGACACGCATGTGTGCGTATGTCACAATACTGAACACACAGTTCGACAATAATGATAAATTAATTTGTTAAATGTATCTACACGTACAAATATTTTCATCTAGAAACGCTATCTTCAGTAAACTTACATAAACAAGAGATAAAATTAAATTAAAAGTCAAAAGCTTAAGAAAAAATGTATTATGCCATCAAACATCAAAAATATGGAGAAAATGACTTCATTTTTTCGCGACTTTACGTCCTCAAAAGTGTGTCATGAAAAAATACATCGCAAAACACATTCGATTTGTGTGGAGATTTATCAACAAAAATATTTAGTACCAGTTAGTAATAATATGCGACGTCTATTTACAGTTGACCTTACTTTCTAGTATTCACTTTCGATAACGATATCAAAAGTTACTGTTTACCACAAATTTATTACAAACGCGCTCAAACTAATATGAAACAAAAATTTTGATTTCATGATTTGTAAGAGTTAGTGTAAATAGAATTATAAAGAAAAAATTAAATGAAGTAAATGCCTAGATATTAATATTGTAAGCGAGGTATCTTAATTAATTAATTGGCGTTGATCACCGCAATTTGACGTCAATGCCTTTCTGAACTAAACTATAAATGACGATAACCTGTGACCTGTGGGCGTCCCTCATCACCGCTACCACAACTAGTATAAAAAACATTTATCCCCACATATCCCTACTTAAATCAATCGACAAACGCCGTAACTCTTGAGTTCTCCTCAGTTCTTTTTTCTTTCTGATTTAGCTTTCGTTATCGAAGCGTTATCTGCTCCAAAAGACAGTGATTTGTGTGGAATGCAGATAAGAAACCATTCGTTTCTAACGTATCTTTCTTTAGTTTAGTCACTCATGACTTACGACACACAATAAAGAACAGTGATGTTGATTATTATATCCCAATTAAGCGATACGTGGAACTTAATTTTATAAAGATTATGTCTAACATTTTACGCCAAAATTAGTTTATATTTCCACCAATAATGGAAATATTTCGACAATTCCGAAATTTTAATAAAAACAAAAAAGAAGTGAACACATCATGAAATGTCGGCCATTGTACTTTTTCAATTGTTGCTGATGTCGGCCATCATTCTTTTTTAATTGTTGTTGATGTCGGCCATCATGCTTTCAATTGTTGCTGTTGTCGGCCATTATGATTCTCTAATGGGAGGGATTTTTAAATTTCGGTTGAATGATGAATGATTTTTTGATTTGCTTACGGTCTATTGTGACCTTCAACATCAATTAGATAGACAAAAAGAAGTTGGAAATTTAATAAACTTACCCTACATAGATTTGATACTACATTTTATTATATAGGCTCCATTCTTTTCAAACATAAATTGAAAAATTATAGTAAAATAAAATGTTCTAGGGAACAACATAACACATTTCAGCAATGTTAAATCATTTAAAAAAAAAGCGACAAACATTGTACCTAATTCTAAAAGAAACAAATAAGAAGTGACAACTATGCTCCCTGCAACCATTCTAAATCCGTTTTCTTTTTAATTTCAAGCCAAATAATTGTACTTATTTAATGAAGGATGTGTACACGTTTATCTTTAAGTATTTTTAATGATCGGCCATTTTTATTCGTCCATTGTTGTGGTATTGTTGCACATGTCGGCCATTATACTTTTTCAATTGTTGATGTTGTCGGTCATCATTGTTTTTTAATTGTTGCTGATGTCGGCCATCATGCTTTTGATTGTTGCTGTTGTCGGCCATTATGATTCTCTAATGGGAGGGATTTTTAAATTTCGGTTGAATGATGAGTGATTTTTTGATTTGTTTACGGTCTATTGTGACCTTCAACATCAATTAGATAGACGAAAAGGTCGAAATTTAATAAATTTACCCTACATAGATTCGATACTACATTTTATTATAATCTGCTCCATTTTCTTCAACCACAAATCGAAAAATTAGAGTAAAATAAAATGTTCTAGGGAAAAACAAAACCTTTCAGAAATGTTAAATCATTTTGAAAACAAAAAAGACAAACATTGTGCTTAGTTCTAAAAAAAAACAAATAAAAAATGACAACTGTATTCTCTGCAACCACGTGTCAAAACATGTGCGCGCTGCAAGATCGTTTTGACCCAATTTCGTGGCAAAAATACTAGGCTAACAAAATTAGTGTTTTGGCCCAATGTGGGTAGGACTCCGCATGTTATTTTAACATTTCAAAGACGTCACCGACAACCGTTTAAAAAATAAAACAAACGAGTTCATTCACAGTCTACCCTACACATTCATCCCCACCACAATCCGAAATATGGCGGGTCATTCATCTGTTTAGGTACTTCAAAAACGACTCAATTTTTGCGATTTTCAAAATAAAATACTTTTTTTTTGCTAAATGGTAGCTACTTAAAAAAAACATGCCAACGGGTAATTTTATTTAATTAAAAAAAAGTTGGTATATAGAATGTTTACACCTTTTTATCGCTTACCTTGTTTCCGTTGCGGTTTCGCTTGTTTCCTACGTCCTCTAGGTCCTCCAGCATTTGATGTTGACGCCATGGTGACGGTTTTGTGTATTTCTTTTTGAATCCCATGTAGTCCTAGACCTCACAGTTCACAAAAACAACTGTTACAAGGAAAAAAAAATAAAAACCGGTCACACAAAAGTTACCGACCGCACTCTCTGTGTAAAAAAGCAGGTAATTTACCGGGGAACATAACAAAAAAAACACGTAGCGCGACAGCTCCCGCACGCAACAAACATCCACACCACCCCTACTCGGCGGCCGACTCATGCAATACACCTCTCGGGTCTCAGCGCCCGCGGCAGTAAACATTACCCGGTGCTCGCCATTGGCCGTATAACGCACGCTCTCATTGGTCGCACACCTTACAGGTTTACACCTACCTGTAAAACACTCATCATGTTATCATACCGGTATGTTTACGCGGACAGGTAAACCTTCAAGGTCGTTCACCAAAGACACTGCCTGTCAATGGGCGAACAGCTGTTTGTCACGGACATTTTGTGAGCGCGTAGATAGGTCGTTAAAAAGCTAGGCGTACTGCTGTATGGATGCCATGCGGACACGCTGGAGCGGGAAGCAATTTCAAAAGTGGGGGCGAATGAACGCGTGGTTGCCAGATACGCGCTGCAAATATAGCAGCCATAAAAACTTGGCTGAACGTTTTTATTGAATAAAAAGTTGATATTCTAAAGTTACAGATAGCAGGAAACCCGTTTTTGGGTGTTAATTTTTATTTCGCTTTTCATTTTGTGATCCTAATCATCTAAATCTTTTAAAAACAGGAATGATTGCTCATTTACCCCAAATGTGTTGAAAACCATTCAAAGCCATGAAATAAATTTATTTTTCTATCTCACTTGTAAAAAGCCATAAGGATGTTTAATGTTAATGCTTCATGCTGAATTTTACCTGGCATATACATTCAATACAGGCCCCACGCATTCATCAACACAAATGTTTTTTACATGACAGACACTTAATGCAGGTAACAGGAAATCATAATCACAAATGGTTTCTACATGACAGACACTTACTGCAGGTAACAGAAAATCATAATCACAAATGGTTTCTACATGACAGACACTTAATGCAGGTAACAGGGAATCATAATCACAAAGGTTTTTACATGACAGACACTTAATGCAGGTAACAGAGAATCATAATCACAAAGGTTTTTACATGACAGACACTTAATGCAGGTANTCGTAAAGCGGCGCTTTTGATCTCGACGTGATGCACAGTGTCTCTAGAAAATTTTGATAACACTCGCATAGAAATCGGACAATTTAATCAGAAAATATGAGCCATACTGTCGACTCAGAAAAACGCTAAAACGAAAAGTAGGGTAAATTACGCGAATTCGGTTGGCGCTAGAGCAGGCCGGGAATGTCATAAGTCAATGGGGCTTTTATCAAAAACTTCCCTCATGCATTGGGCTTCGAACCATCTATAACTAGAACGCATCGGACGTCGAGGTGAGGTGCTAGGAATTTATTTTTTAATTGGTACTGGGTAAGTCTTCTTTTGAATGGCAATTGCGTTTTATTACAATTTCATTTTTCGGTACAATTAACTTAAAATTAGACAAAGATTATCTCATTAGTTGTAGGTAGTTGGTTTAATTATTTATTCTGGCATACTTATTCGAAATTTGGTTATTACGGCTTACGTCTTCAGAATTATGTTATGAAAAATCAGGCAGAATTTATCTGATTTTTTTTTTGTATTTCATTCGATTTCACGAAGTAACTGTTGAACAGAAAGCTCTCGATAATAACACGATTATCTAGGTTTGAGGGTCGCGGGAAGGTTATTTTGCCCATATTGTGTTTATTAGTGTATTCGTGTGAATATTTGTTTGCTCGACAAAGAAATACGAAATTTTATTAAGAAATTAATGATAGATGTTTAGTTCTGTGCGTTCATTTTTGTTAGACGGGTGTGGTTTTTAACTCTAGATTATTATCAACTGTATTTTGGATTATTAATTTCTGGTGAGTTTGATAGCTGGATAATTTTTGCTTGTTAGGATTAATAAGTCGTATACATATTATTTAAGTCGAATATTTCTCCATTGCTGTAAAATGTTGCTATTATTGTATTAATTTGTTTGTAAGAGAGCTTTTTTGTTTTACTGAGTACCTAGTATTTTTTATGATACAAATTTTAACATGAACTTCAGATAAGTAAGCAACAAATAAATACACTTATAGATTTTATACAAATATCTCTGTCGTTAATTGTTGCTTATTAATTAAGTCATAATCTATTTTACTTTTTTTCTTAGGGCGGCGGTCAAAAAATATATAACTAATGTTTTTTTGTATGAAGGTTTATTTAACTATCATCACACCTTTCGAAGTTTTAATGCTCACATTTGTCTTCAGTTCATGTTAATTCACACAATACTCAGCAGTATTATTTATTATTAGTTATATATTTTTTGATCGCCACCCTGAAAAAAAGGTTATAATATCGAGGGTAAATTAAAACATAATAACAATTTATACCAATTTAAGAATTGTTTTTCTATCTTTTTCAGAAAAAATATTCTGAACCAAAACTACAATGCCTCAAAAT